TTTCAGAAAAAAGTGTTTTCTAAAACTATTAGCAAAATCGGTTTTTTGATTAATAATTATCATCCTCAAAAGCATTTGCCAATGGATAGTTACATCCTCGTGTATGCTCCCACCCCAAGAACGGGAAGCGCTGTAGTATGCGGCCTTGAAAATTATGAACTGACTGCTGGACAATTCGCTCCCATGATCCTATCTGCCTCAGAGGAAACGATCATAATTTTTAGGAGTCCACCAGCAACTACTGGGAGTTGCTCTAAATTGTAAAATAAACAGTTCTGAAAACACACACACAAGGAATTCTCTGAGGATGGACAGAGGCCAAATTCTATTATAAAATCCGAGGACCATCCAGTTCTTCTGTTGTGCAAGTATTTCATCATCTCAGCTACAGAACCCATACCCTATACACAGAGCGGCAGCTGAGCTGGTGAATCTTCTCCTTCCCAGACAGAGTGCTAAAGTGCATGACATTCAGGCTGCACAAAACCAATGATGTCACCATTTTCATCAATGGACAGTGAATACCCACACATGCACATAAGTACACACATTGTTCACACACCACAGAAAGGTAGCTACGTAGACGTTACTTATAGTTGTCAACCACTCTCTCAGGAAGACTGTGCTTTTGTCTAAAATTGTGTCTTTCCTAAAGGTTTTCTTTTTTAATATTAAAATGTCCTTTCTTTTATGAAATGATGGTGACAGTATTTGGTAGTTGGCTTTTAAAAATGCCGACAACAAAAGGGCATCTGGGTGGCTCAGTCGGTTAAGCGTCTGCCTTCAGCTCAGGTCATGATCTCAAGGTCCTCTGATGGAACCCCGCATCAGGCTCCGAGCCAGTTTCTCCCTCTGCCACTCCCCCTGCTTGTGCTCTCTAGCTCTATCTCTCTGCCAAATAAATAAAATCCTTAAAAATAAAATAGAAATAAAAAAGTGTTCTTAAAAGATACATAAATATAAAGATTTTGGGGATGCCTGGGTGGCTCAGATGGTTAAGCGTCTGCGTTTGGCTCAGGTCATGATCTCCGGGTTCTGGGATCGAGTTCCACATCGGGCTCTTTGGCTCAGCAGGGAGTCTGCTTCTCCCTCTGCCTCTCCCCACTGCTCATGCTCTCTCTGTCTCTCTCAAATGAATAAATAAAATCTTTGACAACACTATCCCAATCTGTAAAAAAATTTTTTTCTTTAATTTTACAGGTCCATGAACTCCAAAAGTCTATGGGGAACGTATATATGTGTGTGTGTGCACATGCGTATGTGCATGTGTGCATAATGGAATATTATTCAGCCATAAAAAGAAGAAAATCCTGCCATTTGCAAGGACATGGATAGACTTTGAGGGCACTATGCTAAATGAAATAAGTCAGAGAAAGACAAATAGTGGATGTTTTCACTTATGCATGGAATCTAAAAAAGCGGAACTCATAAAAATAGAGGGTAGAATGGTGGTTGGCAAGGGCTGTAGGGTGGGGGAAATGAATATAAACTTCCAGTTAAAAGATGAATAAGTTCCAAGTGATCTAATGTACACGTGGTGACTATAGTTAACAATACCTATTCTATACCCGAAAGTTGCTAAGACAGTAAATCTTAAATGTTCTAACTACCCAAAAAATGGTAATTATGTCAGGTGATGGAGGTGTTAACCACCTTATTGTGGTAATCATTTCATGATACACATGTGTAACAAATATATTATATGTACACAGTGTTACATGTCAATTGTATCTTAATATATCTGGGGGTGGAAAAGAAAAAAATCGGAAAGTCTACAAATGACAACTTTCTAATTAAAATCTTGGCTGGCTTCTTTCTTTTCGGGAGAAAGCCAAACTCCTTGGCCTGGCATTCAAAGCCCCCTACACCTGGTCTTAATCTACTTGTCTTGCTTTCCTTATTGTAATAGGAGCAGTCAGGCGGTCAGCCCCTGCCGGTCCTCACCTGCTCTGGCTAAGGTTACTGAGGTAACCTTCAGCCTCAGTCCTCCTAGTTCCTAGTTCCCGACCTTAGCAGGGGTCATTAAAAGCGCAGCTCTGCAAGAGGTGTGCAAGGAAAGTACTAGGAACTCAAACTCACTGAGCTGCAACCTTCTGTTGGGCCCACAGAGCTGTGCTTGGCTCACAGTGTTATATTCCTCTTCCCACGGGCCACAGGAGCTCTCCCTTGAATTCCAGCTCAGATGGGGGCCCTAAAACATTTGCCTAGATGTCACCAGTTTTTTCCTATTTTCGGGGACTACAATATGTCCCCCGGAGTCAACCTCCAAACCCCAAAGGCCCCCTGGGACCAAGGTGTAGCTTTGTGCAAAGCAGACCTCTATTCCAGGAAATTCCTCACACTGCCTTCTACTGAACCCTGGCTTTCTTTCCTTTCCTTCTCTCCCTGGCCTGCTAGCACCCAGCAGGTAATCTTGGCTAAGACTTTACGGTTATAACCCATGTTCCCTCAATATACTGCTTTCGACTTATGCACCTTTTCTTCGGAGAGACTCTACCCTGAATGCCTTATTTCTCATTCCATGCCTCCCTAAATACTTCAAAGTCTAGTTCAAACATGCCTCTAAACACTTTAGAGGGTTCTTGCCAGGCCTGGGGACACAAGGTGAATGACACAGACCCTGCTCATCAGGAACCCAGTTTATCAGGAGTGAGAGCCAAGGGGAAATTTATCTTATTTCCCTTCCATGAGTTAAGCATCTGAAACACAGGGTGTACAACTTCATATAAACCTTGTTTTAGGGGCACCTGGGTGGCTCAGTCGGGTGAGCGTCCAACTCTTGGTTTCGGCTCAGGTCAGGATCTCAGCGTCGAGAGAGAGTCCTGTGTCTGGCTTGGCGCTCAGCAGGGGAGTCAGCTTCAGATTCTCTCTCCCTCTGCCCCTCCCCCCACTCATGTGCACGTTCTCTTGCTCTCAAATAAATAAATTTTTTTAAAAAAACACTGTTTTAGGGCGCCTGGGTGGCTCAATTGGTTGAGCGACTGCCTTCAGCTCAGGTCATGATCCTGGAGTCCTGGGATCGAATCCCGCATTGGACTCCCCACTCGGTGGGGAGTCTGCTTCTCCCTCTGACCCTCCCCCCCTCATGCTCTCTCTGTCTCATTCTTTCTCTCTCAAATAAATAAATCAAATCTCTAAAAAAAACAAAAATACAAACAAAAAAACAAAAAAACAGTTTTAGGCACAATGAGGCTCTATACATATTTACTGAATAAATGGAGAAAATGTGACTTCATTCAAGAAACTTTCAATTTACTGTTTCAGCAAATATTTAAGTACCCGTTATGTGTTGGGGATATCACAGAACGCTGAAAAGTTAGGGCTTTGAAGAACAGACTCTGTCAATAATCTAGTCCCATCACCTCGCATAGATTGGGGGAGTCTACATCCGTGCACTTGATTTTGAAGAATGGGTGCTCTGTGCTTCAAAATCAGCCTCCTGTACACACAACTCTTTCCTTTAGGTAACATCATTATTCAGTTATTTAAGAGAACACATCTGACTTCCTAATTTATTGGCAACAACCACTCTTCCTAAGAGCATATTTTAACATTTTTTTTTTTCAATCTCCAGTAACATGTACTGGAGGCCTACTAAGTGCTTAGTAATCCATACAGAGACACAGAGGTCCCAATCCCGGAGGAGCTCAATTAATTCAGGGAGCTACACCTGCAAACCCAGTATTGCTAAAGAGCACTGAGAGGGTTGAGGCATTCATAGGTGATCTTCGGAATCAGAAAAACAGTATCTCTCCACTAGAAACAGATAGTCTTTTTTTTGGCGTGAAAGAATCCTTTGACATTCAATTATCACCTTCTCCTCTACAGAGGGCCTGAGAAAGTGAAAAACACCCAACCGCCCAAGAGAAAGGGTGAGAACCTGTCCCATGGACAGGGGGTCCCCAGGCCATGGGATGGGTAAATACCGCTGGTCTCACCCCTTCCCAGGGGAGGCCCTCTCGGGGTGTGGGTGGGGGAACCTTGGAAGTGTCTTCTCAGAATAGATAAGATCCTGTTGGTTAAGAACATCCCAAACCGAAAGAGAGAAGTTTCCTATCATCCACCCATTTCAATTTACCCAAAGCCTGCTAATTCACATTCAGGGTCCTCATCCAAACATAACCCCACACATTCAAGCCATGGGAAAGAGAGACATTGAGAGAGGCCTGGAGAAAACAAAGAGGCAGGGATAAGAGAAAATCCCCTGGATGTTCCTCTCACCTCCCACTAGGCTGCTCCTTCCCTCATCATAGAGTTGGTTATACATGTCCGAACACAGAGGCCCTAACTGTTTGAAACCAAGTTAACCCCACTATGTTCATTACATGTCACACTCTATGTTGGGGTTTAGGTTTCCTCACAGACATTCGGAAAAGCAGCCTCTTCCTATTACAGGAAAAGATGCTCTCAGCTTGTAATAAACTTTTTCCACCGCTCTGATTTCACAGTCTTCTAGGGTTAACAAACATTTTAAAAGTGATCATTTCACTTCTTTAAGAAGAATCCTTTTTCTAGAGATAGGACATTATGATGTTCAGCAGCAGATTAGTGTGAGGTGTAGAGAAAACCTGTCAGCTTCCTAGCAGTTGGAAAACAGGTGAATGATTAATTCTCTTAATGGGCTGAGAATGTCAACAGAAGATGGTCTGGAAGTTTAAAACTCACGAATGCTAGCAAACTGGAGTTGTGGTAAATTCCTGTACTATCAAAGTTGATGGCTCTTCAAGAGCCAGGTCTAGCGCTCACATGGGAGAGAAATTTCAAGGAAGAAAAATGAAACACCCCACAGCATCTCCAAAAGTGAACTCCTTTCCCTGCACAGGTCCCGACCGCTCCCCCAAGTAATTGGTGACTTGTACACAGACGTCCCATTTGTGTCACTGAGGACAAAAGTCCGTGCAGGAAGGAGATGTTACCACATCTTAACACATTTATTAGACATAACACGACTCACTTTAATTTTTTAGTCCCTATAAAATTCACTTTAAAGAATCCATTACCTTGAGCAAGCGGATTTCTCGAAGGGCGATTTTCTTTATGACAGGGTCATCCTCTGATTCCAGAAATCTCTTGATGGCTACAATCTGACCCGTGTCCCTGTTTCTGCATTTGAAAACAACTCCATAGGATCCTTCGCCGATTTTCCCAATTTTTTCATACTTCTCCATCATAGAGGAATAAATCTTAAAACGGATCTTCACATAGTTTGAAAATGTCGCTTATGGAGTACTGGCTCAAACAGATTGCACTAGAGCCCCACTCAACGATGGGTCTTTGTCAAGCACCTGGAACAGAAGGGCACTTGTTAAAGATTTAGGAATCCACCCATGTCCTTAAACCTCGCCCCTCGGCCATGGAAACGAGATCTGGGATGACAGCCTAGAGCTCGCTGCCTTCCGTAACCCAATTCTAAGCGTCCGGTATACACCCTGCAAGTAGAAACGCAACCCGTCATCCTAAAACGAACCGGGTTGCAAGATTATCTTGTTTAACGTTCTAGTTCATCCGATCTAAGACACATGAGCCGGCTGCAGGACGGGGAAGGCTCCGGGCTTCCCCGGTTCTCATTTCCCTTGGGCAAGGAGACACCTGCCGGGGCCCCGCGGGGGCGGCGAGGCGAGGGCCCGAGGCGCGGGAGCAGGACCGCGCCGTCCCCCTCCCCCCCCCCCCCCCGCGCCCGGCCCGCGCCGCGCAGCCTCGAGCGGCGCCACGTGGCGCCCAGGCCCGCCGTCCCGGCCCGCGCGCCTTCCCCGCCCCGGACTCACGGCGCCGCGGCTGCCCGGCCTGGCCCTGCTCCCGCCTCGCCACCGCCCCGGCCGCAATCCCTGTGGGAACGGGCCCCAGCCCCGGCCTGGCCTGGGCGGGGCCGCCGCGCCCCGGCGGCGGGGAAGGGCCCCGGTGGGCGGCCCTGGGGCCCGGGTGCCCGTGCGTCCCTCCGCCGGGAGAGGAGGCCTGCAGGCCTGCAGACTCCAGCAGCGCGTGAAAAACGCAGCTCTAGCAGCGTCGGCTGGGAAGACGCCTGCGCCGGGAGCACCCCTGCCCCAACCCCCACGCGCTCCGAACTTCTCGGGCAGGGCGGGCCCCACACGGTCTGAGAACCGGTAACTCCGTCGTACGCGGTGCTAGGCTGCAGACGCCTTTATGTCTGTCCTGATCAGTGCTGTAGCATCCAGTCAACGAATGTGAATGAATGAGTGAATGAATGAATGAATGAATGAATGGCAGAGAGAGAGGAAAAGAGGGAGAAGGAGTTCCAACTGAAACTGCTTAAAGTCAGCACGGCCCTCCATTAGCCTGCGGGTCCATCACCATCGACTTCTTATATAGCTGGGCTTTCTGATGTGGGAGATGGAGTTTTACAGAACCAACTTTGGTTTAGGGTTTTTGTTTTGTTTTGTTTTTCTTAAGTCATCTCCAGGCCCAACGGGGACCTCAAACTCAGGACTCTGAGGTGAAGAGTCCTGTGCTCTACCGACTGAGCCAGCCAGGTGCCCCTGTCTTAGGTTCCTTATTCCCATCCGTCTCCCAACTGGTTCCTACTCACTCAAGTCTGAGCACAATTGTGGGAAGTTCATGGACCTGGGGAAATCATGAAATAGTTTGCTACTAGGCAGACTGCCACAGTACTTTATCATCTAACCCATTCCATATGCCCAGCACTGAGACGGGTGTTTGCCCTGGAAGTGACACCTGAGGAGAGAAAAGTGTCATACTGTCTATGCACCAAGCAGCATGCCACTAAAGGTGAATCTGAATAGGGTTCAGGAAGGAGCTGAAGCTGGGAGGAGAGGAATTGGTGGCTGCCTTGACCAGGGAGTCGCATTTAGAGGGGGTCCAGGGATGAGCTACAGGTGAGCTGTGAACCTCCTAGAAATTGTTTGCAAATGGCCACCGCTGATGTGTTTTCTGTCTCTATAGTTTGGCCTTTTCCAGGATGTCATATAAATGTAACCTTTTGAGGCTAAATTTCTTTTACTTAACATAATGCTTTTGAGTTTCACCCATGTAGTTGCATTTCTCAGTAGTTCATTCTTTTTTTTATTGCTCAGTAGTATTCCATTGTATGGATAAACCGACTTTGTTTATTTCCAGTTGAAGAACATTTGAGTTGTTTCTAGTCTTGGTGATTATAAATCAAGCCACTATAAACATTCATGCGTGGTCTTTTGTGTGAGTATATGTTTTCCTTTCTCTTGGGAAAATAATACTTAGGAGGAGTACTGCTGCGTCACAGGATGAGTATATGTTATTGTAAGTAATTGCCAAAATGTTTTCTAAAGTGACTGTGCCATTTTACATTCCTGCCAGCAATGTTCCAGTTACTCTGTATCTTTGCCAGCACTTCATATTCAGGTCTTTTGATTTTAGCCATTCTAATAGGTAGGTAATTGGCTCTTGTGGTTTTAATTTGCATTTCCCTAATAACTAATGTTGAGCAGTTTTCCATACACTTATTTACCTTCTGGATGTTTTCTCACAAGTTCTAGCTTTTGGTAAATTCCTTGGAATTTTCTATATAGACAGTCATGTCATCAGCAAATAGGGATAGGTTTAGTTCTTCCTAATTGGTATACCTTTTCTTACTTTTTCTCACCGTCTTGCACGTGATAGGCCCTCCAGTGTGACATCAAACAGGAACAGGGAGAGCAGACATTTCTATTACTGATCTTAGGAGGAAAGCATTGTCTTGTACCACTAGGTATGATGTCAGTTAGATCTCTTTGTAGATGCTGTGGTAGGCAGCCTCTAAAATGGCCCTTAAAGAGCCTTGCCTCCTGGTATTCATGCCCTTGTGTGTTTTCCTTCCCTTCAGCATGGGCTTGACCTCATAACTTGCTTCTAAGGAATAAAATATAGCAAAAGTAATGGAATATCACTGCCAAGATTAGCTTACAAAGAGATGGATTTCTGCCTTGGGTACTCTCTTGCTCACTTCCCCTGAGGGAATTCAGATGCCATGTTGCAAGCTGCCCTATGGCAAGGTTCTGAGGAGGCCAACAGCCAAGAATTTAGGCACTCAGTCCCATGTTCCGTGAGGAATTGAATCTTGCCAACAACCATGGGAATGAACTTGGAGGTGGATCTCCCCACTGCCTTTCTTGCTCCAGTGAGCTTCCAGAATAGACTATAGCCCCAACTGACGACAAAAGTTCAATCTTGTGAGAGACCTTGAGTCAGAGGCCCTTAACTAGTCGTATCTGGATTCCTAATCTGCAGGAACTGTGAGATAATATGTGTTTAATATTCATATTTTGGGGTTGTTTTGCTGCAATATAGAACTGACATAGAAGCCCTTTATTAGATTGAGAAAGTTTTCTGTAATCCAATTTGCTGAGAATTTTTTTTTAATTGTGAATGGATGTTGAATTTACCAAATACTTTTCTGTATCTATTGAGATGAGCATATGTTTTTTCTTAGTCTGTTGATACAGTGAATGTATACCTATGAATATATTCATAGGTTTAAAAATGTTGAGGGACACCTGGGTGGCTCAGTCCATTAAGTGTCTGCCTTCAGCTTAGGTCATGATCCCAGGGTCCTGGGACGGAGCCCCATGTCCAGCTCCCTGCTCAGTGGGGAGCCTGCTTCTCCTTCAGCCTGTCACCCCACCTTCTTGTGCTCTTTCTCTCTGTCAAAGAAATAAAATCTTTAAAAATAAATGAACACAAAGAAATAAATAAAAGTAAGAAATTAAAATGTTGAACGCAAAACTTGCCTTCCTGGGATAAATCCAACTTAGTTATGATATTCTATCATTTTGCTACGTTGCAGGAGTCAATTAGTCACATTTAATTAAGGATTCTTGAATTAATATTTCTGAGAGACATTGATCTAATAGTTTTCTTGTAATGTCTTTGTCTAGTTTTGGTGTCAGGGTAATACTGATCTCATAAAATGGGGAAGTGTTTCCTTCTCTTCTGTTTTCTGGAGACATTTACATTAAATTGGTATTATTTATTCCTTAAATGTTTGTTAGAATTTTTCCAATAAAGCCATCTGAGTATGGAGTTTTCCCTGTTGAAATGTTTTAAACTACAAGTTCTATTTCTTTAATAAAATATATAAGGCTATTCAGGATATCTATTTTTTCTTGAGTGAGTCTTGGTAGCTTGTATCTTCAAGGAATTTGTTTATTTCATCTAGATACTGGAGTTTATGTGTATAAAGTTGTTCATATATAACAATATTACACTATCATCCTTTTAATGTTGTTACTGTATAATACTATTACATTATTACCCTTTTAGTACTTACAGGATATATAGTGGTGTTCCCTGTGTCATTCTTGATATTAATAATATGTTTTTTCCCCTTCTTTTTCTTGATCAGTTTGACTAAGTCTTATCAATTTTATTGGTCTTTTAAAAGAAACAGCTTTTGATTTAGTTGATTTTCTCTATGATTTTTCTGTTTCACTTTGATTTCATCTCTTTATTATTTTTTCTTTCTGTTTGCTTTACTTTTAGCTGCTTTTTCTAGTTTTTTTTAATTTTTTTTTAAGATTTTATTTATTTATTTGAGAGAGAGAGAGAGAATGAGAGATAGAAAGCACGAGAGGGAAGAGGGTCAGAGGGAGAAGCAGACTCCCTGCTGAGCAGGAAGCCCGATGTGGGACTCGATCCCGGGACTCCAGGATCATGACATGAGCCGAAGGCAGTCGCTTAACCAACTGAGCCACCCAGGCGTCCCTTTTTCTAGTTTTTTAAAGATGGAAACCTAGACCATTAATTTTAGATATTTCTTGTTTATAATATAAGCCTTTGGTGCCATATATTTTCCTCTCTAAGCACTACTTTAAATGCATCCCAGAAATCTTAATATGTTGTATTTTCATTCAGCCCAAAGTATTTTCCAACTTATCTTGTGACTTCCTGTTGGACCCATGGGTTATTTTGAAGTGTGTTGTTTAATTTCCAACTAGTTGGGGACTTTCTAGATATCTTTTTATTCCTGTTTTCTAGAATCAGAGATCCATTCTTTTCAGAGAACTCTCTTTGTATGATTTAAACTTTGCAATGTATTAAGACCAGCCTATGGTCTATGTTGGTGAATGTTTCTTTTTGACAAGTTAAAAAAATTATTTTTAAGTGATATGGGAAAGTCATTGTGACTTTCTCCAGAGCTGCCTTGTCTGAAGTTCATGCCAGGCTGCAGTGAGTCTGGAAAATTAACTTTATGGACCCTGCAAGGTTCAGTACCCAAGGAGCCTGGAACTGTGCCCAGCCCAGTGATAGTTAAAGTAGGGAGCAAGGGCACCATTTATTTCGGCCTCCGTGGGCAGTGAACCAGAAAGCCAGCGTGACTGGCAACAGCACCAGTTTTGTTGTTTGAAGGAAGTTGGAGCAAAATACTAGAGGATCACTTTGAAAGGGAGATAAACAGTTGATGTCACCATTTAGCACCAAACAGAGAGGATAATGTGGCCTCTCTACCGTCAAATCACCACAGGGAGTGCTTTTGGTCGGCAGGACTGAAATCCGTCTTGGTATCAGAGAAATACAACTCCTGGGAAGTAGAGTTCTTGGG